ATTTGGCAGACGTAATACATGGTGTGCGCCGTTGTTAATAAGCCATTTTGTTCAATACACACGGTTACTTGCTATTGATTTATGGATTTTTGCACTTTTTGCCTAGAAATTGTATTTGCTTGAAAACGATAGAAGGAGTTATGGAATATAGACCAAATTTGCCAGGCATAATGCATGGGTGAGATGTGTTTTAATGAGCCTTCTGTTCGACTATAATCATCGACCCTTTCAATTTATTGATTTTTTGCAGTTCGCGTATTATCCATTTCTTAGGATGTTAATTCGAAATAAACTGGCAAAGCCGAAATTGCCTACGGTCGTTCTTTCTGCGCCGATTATAAACGTGCAAAATGGCAAATTTTCTGCATTTCACTTTCAATAAAGAACAAAACGAAAGGTTTACCGGAAGCGAAGCTGCCGTGTACCAGCCGAATCTGCCGCGTAGCGGCAGAGAGCGGCTGGTATGACATATTACCAACCAGCCCGGGAATCGTCGCAGCGTCAATCTAACACAAGCGCTGCGCGACCACACAGTTATAGGGGCCTGCAGGATCGCGAGAGTCGGACGTGCGTACGGCTATTGCGCCGCGCACGTCAGACGTGCGTCCGACGACTCAAGTAGGTGCCAGACTTATCCTGTTGAACAGGTGCATTCGGTTCACCACCTTTTCTGTTGGACAGTATAGTGATTTCTTATATATAAAGTTGAATGTCTGTTTGTATGTCTGTATGTCTGTCTGTATGTACGTATGTTCCGAATAGAAAATTCCATTTCTCAACCGACCCGGACCAAACTTGGCACACATTCACTTCGGGCCCCGGCGGGTGTCATAGGCTACTTTTCGTCATCGATCGATATCGATTTTATCGATTTTTTGCAAAATTTGAGCTACGGGGCTGGGATTTGGCAGAGGGGGTAATCGAGCATGCTGATCACCCCCACGGGGGTGATCAGCATGCTCGATTACCCCCTTGTGCCAACTCCCAGCCCCGTAGCTCAAATTTTGCAAAAAATCGATAAAATCGATAAAAGTAATGCACGGTTTCGAAAAATAATATTGTATTCGTAATCGGCATGCTCGATTACACCCCTCTGCCAAATTCCAGCCCCCTAGCTCAAACTTTGCAAAAAATCGATAAAATCGATATCGATCGATAACGAAAAGTGGACTGTGACACCCGCCGGGGCCCGAAGGGTATGTGTGCCAAGTTTGGTCCGGATCGGTTGAGAAATGGAATTTTCTATTCGGAACATACGGCGGAGCCGGGTAAGCCAGCTAGTGACCTATAAACCGAACGGAGCGGCTGAAGCGGATAAGTCTGGCACCTGCCTTAAGGGCCAGGCATACTTTACGCGATTTCGGTCGCGACGCGATTTGGCAATATTCCAACTGTCTATAACTTACTGCAAATACTTTTCAAATGTCCAGAACATAGGGCATTTTATCAGTCCACTTAAGTTATACACACTATGCATGTGCAGTTTGTTAGTGTTGGATCTGAAGACTTCTGGCGAGTTGCCAAATCGCGTTGCGACTGAAATCGCATGAAGTATGCCCGGCCCTTTAGTGACATCGGACGTGCGCGGCGCAATGGCCATACGCACGTCCGACTCTAGCGATTCTGCACGCCCCTATAAGCGGCGCGGCGGACTCGGAACTTATGTCCGACATGGTAGTCGCGCGATTCCGGTCGCTGCGCGATTTGGCAAGTGGGTTTTGCATGCCCTCGCCTAGATTTGCGAGCAGCGCGCCCACAAATTTAGGCGCGCCGCTCGCACGGTAGGCTCATGAAAGCGCGGGCCGTCGAAAAAGTGTCTGAGATGAACCATCAACGTGGCTGCCTTTCAATAGCATCAAGACGTTGACAACAAAATTATGCGTTGTTCGAAGTTGGCATGTCAAAATGGTCGAAAGGCAGCCACGTTGATGGTCCATACGGAAACATTTCTGGGGGATGCACCACATACGTCCGAGACGCAAAGCAGGGGTAATAGCAATTGTGGAGAAGACAATACTCTGACCTGATCCTCGTCTGCGTCTCGGTCTCCCTTCAATATCTGACTGGCCAAAAGCCAGGAATGTGCGCTCCATGAGGCAATTGCGTCGCCACGAGTGCTTCAACCCACACTTGGTCGGAACAGATTGCGCGTACAGTCTAGGAGATTCTCCGCTTAATATATTCTCCGCTTTCTCCACAGATAGTGTTTGCGCGTGAACAAATAGCTACAAGCCCCGTAAAATCCAATTGACCATGCGTCGCTTTGAACACCAACGCGCGGCGCGGCGTCTTCTGCGAGCGACAATGAGCGCACACCCTTTCCACACATACTTTTTTAAACTTGTGTAGGGAGCTTTCGTCAAGATATACCTTGCATTGACGAGAACAACATGAAGATCAAAGAAAGATTTCCTGGAATATAGTGAACGCCGACAGTCTTTCGCGACGACCGCTCGCTTACGCTGGTGTTCAAGGCACGGCGCGGGCAGTTAGGTTTTACGGCGCCTACACAATGCGTTTGACGGGGCCCGCTCAGACACTGGGACCGGCTGAGCCGCGGCCTCAAAAGGCCTTTCCGGCCCGTCCGCGGCCTTAATTTGGGGGCGTGGCCGAAGACCGGCCCAGCCGCGGACCTTAATTCATGTCGATATGATTGCACCGGCTGAGCCGCGGACTGAATATGGCTTACCGGCCCAGCCGCGGCCTTAATTTGGGGGCGTGGCCGAAGACCGGCCCAGCCGCGGACCTCAATTCATGTCGATATGATTGCACCGGCTGAGCCGCGGACCAAAATCTCTATAACGAAACACCGGCTGAGCCGCGGCCCATTTTCGGCTCGGCCGGTCCTAGTATCTGAGCGTAAAGAACACTTGCGTGATGTACGACGCATGGTCAGGCTGCCCTCAGTGTCCATAGCCTTCCATGTCTTTCCAGTCTCCAAGGCAGGAACAAGACCAATGTGTTGTACAACACCTGGATAGCACTTTGTGTTGTCCAATTTTGAAGCCGGACATGGTTTCCGAAGCGGCCATGTCTGCGACTTCAATTTTTGTTTTTCACAGCGTGTATATACGCGCCAGTGAATAAAAAAACAGTCGTTTTGTATCCGAGCTAGAATGAACTATATGGCCCGACAACCAGCTCCGGCTGAGCCGAGGCCGTTTTCCGGCTGAGCCGCGGACCTTCACCGGCTGGTCCGCGGACCTTCACCGGCTGGTCCGCGGACGCTGCGAAATTCCAGCCGGAAATGGGCCGCGGCTCGGCCGGTCTCAGTGTCTGAGCGCGCCGCGTAGTGCAGTCACACACCTGCGCGTGAGCGCTACCGTCGGCTGGGCGTGCTGGGATCATGCCGCGCAAAGCGGCGTGGTCGTTGTTTTAGCCACTCTTCCCGCTCCTTTCCTGGCTCATTCGCTGTCCTGCTTCCCATTTTCTGAGGATTTCCTGTTTGAAACCCTACTTAGTATGTACTTCTTGCGATCTTTCAAAGTATCATCGCGCGAAAGGAAGAGAAATGGATGTTTGAGGTCTTTCAAAGAAGATCTAATCTGAATCATTTCTGAGAATTCCGAAAACGATTGGTACTCTTTCTCATTACAGCTAAAGGTGATTATCGTAAGGCCCCGGGCAGACTTCACGCGATTTGATCGTCGCGACTGAATCGCGACGAGGCAACTGTTACAACATCATTCCATGCCGATCAACTTGCATTCGGTTGTGATACTTTTCCAGCCCGAAATTTTTGAATGTGAAATGAAAATGAATGGAAATCTTGGCGATTAGATCGCGACGATCAAGTCGCGTGTAGTCTGTCCGGGGCCTAAGGTGTAATCGTGTATCGTATAGGTTGGGAGAACAGTTTGAGTGAACGGCACGTTGGCGCTATTAATTCAAATCTAAACGATATACGATTTATGTTGGTGAAACACGAGTCGGTATAATAAATCAGACATCCGAAATAGCCATCCGAAGAAGAAAATCTGGATGAAATGCAAGATGTCATGAAAGAAAACGCTCAAGCTTTGATACCTTTTTCCTGCGCTGCAAAAAAACCATATCCGGTTTTAAGACAAATCGTATGTGAGCATAGAAGCAAGAAAAATGGCAATCCGCTGCTACAAAAACGGAAAATCACAAGTTACAATGATGAAAACAAGGCCCGCGGTGTTGCGCGCAGCAGGGTGCCTGCAAGCTGCTGCGAGGACGGTAACGCTCGCGCGTAGATGTGTGACTGCACTACGCGGCGCTGGCGTCCTTGGACCATTATAAGGGCCGAGCATACTTCACGCGATCTCAGTCGCGACGCGATTTGGCAAATCGCCAGAAGTCTTCAGATCCAATACTAGCAAATTGCACATGCGTAGTGTGTATAACTTATAGTCCCCTTCACAGATCGTGCTCACCTTGGTCTGCGTCTCAGACCTGCCACGTGTGGCTAACACGTTGGCAACGTGGCAACAACATGTTTGCAACTTGCCCCAACATGTTGGCAGAACATTTTGGCCACGCCAACAAGTTGCTGCATGTTGTCAACGTGTTGCTGCCAACGTTGCCAATGTGTCAGTCACACGTGGCACGTCCACGACGCCACAAGGGTAGCAAGATCTGCGGAGGGAACGATATGTGGATCGATATAATGCCTTATCTTCTGTACATTTGAAATGTGCTTACAGTGAGTTATGGTCAGTCAGTTGGCATACTGCCAAATCGCGTCGCGACTGAAATCGCGTGAAGTATGCCCGGCCCTATACGCCTGTCACGCGGCCAAATGCGCGCGCGGGATTCCGGCATTACTGGCGTGGGAAATTTTTACGCGCAGATCTGACCCATCTCGGAAAATCTACTCGACTGTACATGCTTGGTAGACAAGGGGCGGTGCGAGCGTTCACTTTCTCCGTTCCGAATTTGACTCAGTTCGAATCAATCATTGTGCGAATGCGAACGCTCGCCATTCTCACTAAGTGGCATCTGCTTCGGATGAGGTGTCATTTACCATTGACTTTCAGGGCTTTTTCAGCATGATGGAGTTGCCATTTGTTGACTTTGATGCTCATGAGCAGAATGCGGACATCGCCAGTGTCAAAGAAGTATGTTGAATGCTTTCAGCACGTTCCTATGTGATGAAAAAATGACTGCTTATAAAGCGTAAGAAAACTGCAGTGACAAAACATGAACTGGGCTGATTTATATGAGTGATTATCATATTTCCTACATTATATATTAGCGGTAATTTGTGTGTGCTGTGCTTTGCTTGGGAAGATTCACTGTTTCTGTAGCAACGCAGAGGTGAAAACTAATCAGGGATTAAACTGATGCATTGCATCAGTTTAATCCCTGATTTCATCAACTATGACTACCCAAACAAATTGCAAAAAACAACAGTTTTGCGACATTTTTTTGCTCAGGCCTCAGGCAGAGTCCATGCAATTTCATTATCTCGCAATTCTCCAGCAAGACAACAGTTAGACTCCATTACATGGCGATCATCTTGTATTTCGTTTGTGCAAATTTTCCGACACGGCTAATCGTGACTCTATCGCAAGCGAAATGCAAGATGATCGGCATGCAATGGACTCGTAACTGCTGTGTTATCGGGAGAATCGCGAGGCGATGAAATCGCTTGAACTTCGCCCGAGAAGACCTCAAGCGAATTCAGTCTTGTTAAATGAGTGCTTATTTTCAGTTCCTCCTGCAAGCTCGCCGAGTTCTATGCAGTGAGTCTGTTTCTGATGAAATGAAGAAGAATATCTTTGATGTATCCATGGAATGTATCGGCAACGGTAAGCTTTTCCTAAGAGAATTATTTTTACTTCAGCCATAAGAGGAGTGTTAGGGAGAGCTCTATATTATATCGTTTGTTAGACGATTACTCTTATGAATTTGTGAAGTTGCACTAGAAATAGCCCTCATTTGTAGTGATAGATATCACTCAACAACTGAGTGCTATCTATCAATTTGTGAAGTTCATTAATCAAATGTGATATTGATGAAAGTGTTGTATCACTTTTTTCTTCTTTGTCATTCGCGTCTAGACAGCACGTTTTCTTCCCAACTGACTATCAATTACCCGTAATCCGTCCAATCCGAATGCTCGACGCATGTTGTTTCATTTACTCATGTACTGTGTCACTGCGCTCCTCAAGGCTACTTTGTCCGTGGAGCATGTGGCAAGAATTTGGATCCGAATCATACACGAATGACTTTGTTACCAGGCTAAGGGTGCGGCCTTGGAATGAAGTATAGATGCTCATGTTTGAGCTCAGACGCGTTCATTCCAGCGCGAAGCTCAATCATAAAATCGTGGCAATGGCCGCGCCCGCGCGCGTCGCTTACGCAGTTTCCGCCAGCGCATTTCTATTCGTTTCTTTTCAAAACATTTTTTGCATGGAGATGACGGCTATTGGATATTTGCTCTCTGAGCTGTACACTGAAGAGGAGACGGGCCCTCTGTGCTGCTCGCCTTAGCAGCCTACCCTTTGCTTCAACCAGATCGGCGGCTGGAAGGGGGGCTCCGTGACCTATCAAGGCTAGAAGAAAATGAGAGAATGTTCACAAGGGAGGCGCAGACTGCGTCGCGAGCGCGAGCAGCCGCACAATGGTGCGCGGCAGGCAGTCTGTCCCTGTGGACGGCGCCGCGCAATGGCGCGCGGCGGCTAATCTCAATACTATCTGTCCAATCCTCTCAATTTTTGTTCATATGGTCAACATAGGCTCAGATGTACTTCATGTATTAGCCCCGCCCCTTTTGGCAAACTCCGCCCACTTCCATGCCTCTCACAAGGACACTTTTTGTTCATAAGCGTGGACGAGGCCGTAGACGAACGCAAAAACCTCAAGCAACTTTTAGCTGGGCCATCCCACCGTCAGGCAAGCTCCGCCCCCTAAGTGATAAACTCCGCCCATTTTTCAAAGGTGGCGGAATTCGCATTTACGACATTTTTGGCCGAGTGGGCGGAGTTCGCTACACTCGGCGGGGCTTGAAGGCAGTGTCCCGGCAGATTTTGCATTTCCATCTTTTTGTATGTTTTGGGCCTTTTCGACCCGCAGATACCATATTTGAGCTTCGAAACGGATGAAAAGACCTTTTTTGGGGTGTTTACCCCATTCCCAAAAGAGTCAGGTCGGACGAGAATTTCAATGGGAAAATTGGGAGGCCCTGGCACGAAGACCCTGCTGCCAGTAATTTTTGCTTTGGATAGCATGCACAATGCGGGAAAGCAGTCGTGGGGTCCCGCGCCGAACGGTGAGCGCAATCGTCCGAGCGCGCGCCAATTGGGGTTGCGCGCGCAGGTTCAAGGGCTATTTTCTCGGCCCAGAGGCAACATCAACTCCAGACCGCGCCTGGAGGTCAGTAGGATGACCAGGAATCCCATCATAGCAATATTTCCCAGGGCGCGAATCTGCCGGGACACTGCCTTTGAACATTTCATATATCGTGCTTGAATGCATGCATATATATCTTTGATTCAACTGGTTTAGCTCCGTCAGGGCAGGCCGCTCGCGCCCGCGACGCACCTGCGTCTCTCGCGCGCGAGTGCTCTCTGATCATTACCTAGCCTTTATTAGGCTCCCGCCACAGTGCCGAAGTTATGCCAGCGTTACGCCAGCATTTCGATCGATACTCGTGTATTTCGTTGGGGCGGGGCTAGCTGACGTCCCCAACGAAATACACGTGTATCGATCGAAATGCTGGCGTAGCGCTGGCATAACTTCGGCACTCTGGCGGAAGCCTTAGGTCACGAAGCCCGCCTTTGCCGAAGCTCAGCCAGTTGAATTAATTGTACATGTAGCCAGGCGCGGGATGCACGGAAACATTTCATCCACAGCTCAAAAAACTGGCTCGTCGTCAACATGTTAAGGAGCCTAACTGGCGGTCAAAGACTGAAAATGAGACCTGTGGAACAGGATAAAATGCGCAAGCGCATCCTCACAAATGTCAAGTTCAACGACTTAATTACTCTCGGGACTTGATCCCTCTACCCTATTGTATTGCATCTTGAAGGCAGCGTCCACCCAGAATTTGGCCCCTCATGTTTCCGTCATTCTGGGGCCTTTCCGTGGCCCTGATTACATTTCCGAAGTTCAAACTCTCTAAAATTCACAAAAAACCCGATTCTTGGGGACCCAATCTTGTGGGCGCGGACGAGTTTCGAATTGCTCGTCCCCGTCGGCAGGCCAGTGGGAAGGATCTGCAACTGCATGGGTGCAGTTGCATTGCAGTTGCATTGCTCACTACCTTGTCAATACGTGTCGGGAGTCCCTGGTAGGCGGAGTCTGATATCAGACTTTCAGCCTTATCCTTATCTCCATTCAGAGACAACGTTAGAAGACCGGACCAACGCAGAAGTCCCTTTTCTGGGGCCTACATTCAGGATCGACACTAATCGGAGGGGGTTAGGTTTAGCCTGGACACTGCCTTTAAAAGGAAAATTCTTGACTAGATGATTTTATCGTTATATTATACTAGCTGGCTTACCCGGCTCCGCCGTATGTTCCGAATAGAAAATTCCATTTCTTAACCGATCCGGACCAAACTTGGCACACATACCCTTCGGGCCCCGGCGGGTGTCACAGTCCACTTTTCGTTATCGATCGATATCGATTTTATCGATTTTTTGCAAAGTTTGAGCTAGGGGGCTGGAATTTGGCAGAGGGGTGTAATCGAGCATGCCGATTACGAATACAATATTATTTTTCGAAACCGTGCATTACTTTTATCGATTTTATCGATTTTTTGCAAAATTTGAGCTACGGGGCTGGGATTTGGCACAGGGGGGTAATCGAGCATGCTATCACCCCCGTGGGGATGATCAGCATGCTCGATTACACCCCTCTGCCAACTTCCAGCCCCGCAGCTCAAATTTTGCAAAAAATCGATAAAATCGACATCGATCGATAACGAAAAGTGGACTGTGACACCCGCCGGGGCCCGAAGGGTATGTGTGCCAAGTTTGGTCCGGATCGGTTGAGAAATGGAATTTTCTATTCGGAACATACGTACACACAGACATACAGACAGACAGACAGACATACATACAAACAGACATTCAGCTTTATATATAAGATATGTCAAAATGGGGGACATTAATGGGGAGGGGACCACCGAGCACCCGGGGAGTGCTAGCTCATCTGGAGATTCTGGGCACCGCCCAATTCGTGGGGACTGTCGGACCATCTGATTAGTCTGCGTCTCGACACAAAAGGAAGAATGAGGAGACGAAGTTGTCCACAAAATTCTGAAAGCTGCTCAAGTTGTCTTCGCGAACTGAACTCAGTGTAGTGCTTCAAGGCAGCGTCTGGGCAGATATGAAATTGAAGTGTACAAGGGCTCTCACTCTGATAAAGCGCTTGCACTAGTGGCATTGCACCACTTTGTCTCTGAAGCAAGAAAAACGCTTCAGAAGTGGCGACCGGAACGCCCCGGCGACCTGCCCACTCCCCGTCAATCGGCAGCCAGAGTACGTACCTTCGATACCAACCCCATATGTCTTCCCTCAACATGACCTTACGTGAACTGGTGAGGCACCATCTCATTTCGAGCTTGCGCCACATTGCGGTGCATCGTTTGGCGTGATTTGGCGCTCAAAACAACGCGGCGCAGGCTTTTCCACTTTCAGCTGTTCCTCTTGCCACACCACGCCAAAGATGCGTACGCAACGTGCGCAAGCCGTAAGCGAGGCGGAGCCTCATCAGTCCACTTAATCCACGTCATGGACATGGGTTGATATCGAGGGTATGTCGCACACAGTCAAGATGTAGGGTCCAGCCACGACTCTGCGTCTTAATCTCGGCGGCAAGCGTCCATATTCAAATCAACAACTTCTTAAATAGCCTGTTTTCAACATTTTCGTACTCTGCAAGCTGCATTTTTGGAATCAACGAGAAGAATAATCCCAGGTACAGTCCTTTTCAACCCAAAGTAGGCGACACATTCCAAGTGCAGCGCGTCCGCAGCGCCATTGGCTTAGCGAGGTAGATTAGAACGAAGAGACGCAGACTGAAGAGCGGCGCGGATTGTTGCGAAGGGACCTTCCGCCAGTCCAGTTTCCACCTAAACTAAGTTGAAACTTACTATAAGCGGAAAAAAATTTGCTTGAAATTTTGCCCGGACGCGGCCTTTAAAGGCACCGTCCACCCAAAATGGAGGTTGGCGAGATTATGATGGCATACTAGTATAGACCCTAATACTAGACAAACCTCCAAGCTTCGCCGCAAAAGACTGCTTCTGAAGCGAGAAATCCGCTCCGGAAGTAACAAAGTGGGCGGGGCGCCCCTGGCGGTCCACCCAACTCGAATTCAATGTTTTTGTCGCCTTCAGGCCTTCTGAAAGCCATGATTCCGAATATGGAGTCGAAAATACGCGAAACCCCCAAAAATCCTTGTTTCGAGAACCCTCTGCAACAAGTGCAGGCGAGATAAAGCATGCAAGTGGGCGGGGGGACCGGGGGCGCCCCGCCCACTTTTGTTACTTCCGGAGCGGATTTCTCGCTTCAGAAGCAGTCTTTTGCGGCGAAACTTGGGGGTTTGTCTAGTATGGGGGCCCACACTAGTATGCCATCATAATCTCGCCAACCTCCATTTTGGGTGGACGGTGTCTTTAAGTGCACTCGCATGTTTTGCGTCAGAACTATATGGGAATTGTGTAACGATTTGATAATATCCTTACGAACAACTCTCCAATTTGATAGGAAACGGCAAGCGTGAGGACCGTTGGCAGACTAATTAGCTCCAGGACGGAGCGGTGCAGAAGGGCATTCACCCTTACACATACATACAGCCA